TTTTTTTTATTTATCTATTTATTTTTTGATCTAGTCAAGCGCGCGCTATTTACATCTTTCGCGTTTTTAACATTCAAATGTAACGTAAGCCCTGACACGTAGTTTGTAACGTACCTTAATTTAAATTCAAATGTACAACAGTTAAATGCTCATTTGCAACTGAAGATGACATGAGAATGTCGAAACATGTCTTGTAAATTTAAACTCAAAGTTGTTGTTTCTTTTTTGAGAGTTATTGTCACTCTGCTGTCTTTACGTCCTATTATTATTATGAATGACATAGGCATTGACAAAAAGCAGCAACTTTACATAATCAAGAAAATGATGAATATAGCTATTAGAGCAACATATTACGTCTTTTGTTGTAGAAATAGGAATTGGGACAACCCAGATTTGATGCAATTTTGATTTTTTTTGTGTGTGTTGAATAAGCCAATCTCGAGCAGCATTTGTAAATTGCCTATACGTAGTGAGATTTACAAATGTACATTTAAAAACACAAATAAAGTTTCCATTATTATTATGAAGGGCAGAGCTACATATACAACTGCAAGAATGGCCACAGTTTGAAGTGGGCAAGCTCATCAATACTTCTCAAAAAATTCACCACGAATCTCAGATGAGACAACCTCAGCTGCTGAAAATTTTAGCTCTGCCGTCCTCGCACAGCACAGTTATGTTGCTAAACATTTGTAAACAAAGTAATCATGTAAAACGACCAATCAGTAAGCAAAGGAAAATATCAGAGGACGCCAATAAGAACTAAGGACATGCACATCGTCTAAAGCGAGGGGCAAAAGAGCAAGCGACCGAGTTAGAATTGGCTGTAAACATCGGTTGGACTTGAAGAGTGACGTGAATTTTCCACTCGATCCAATTGCAGTGTGAAGCGAGGAAGACTACGGTAAGCCCGGATTACTTTTCAAACGCTATGGATCGTTGCTATATTCAACCTCGTAGCGCACAAACCAGACGAATGATGCTAATGTTTATTAAAATTGGTATTGACCAAAGAGACTCTTCCTCTCATGTCACGAATCTCTCATTTTTGCCGTCTCGCGAACGCTAAGTGGCAATGCCGTCAGACAATTTTCAGACCAGCCCGTGACACGGGCTGAAATGCGCAGAGAGCCTGAGGGGGGAGAGAGAGAGGGGGAGAGAGGGAGAGAGTGAGGGGAGAAAGCAGAGAAAAAGGAAAGTTGACTTCAGCGTTTTCGGTGCATCTTGGACAGAAAAGAGACATAAAACCTTGCTTTTGTTGATATTCTTTATCTTATGATAATTATATTCAATCATTATGAAAAACTTCATTCATTCTAGACAATGATTATTTCACGTTAAGATCTAACGTATCGTTGTGTTTGTTTTGTCCACGTAAAATTAATGTAATTTGTTTTTACTACATGGATAAACGATTGTAATGGACTTGTTAGCTTTAAGCGCTGTGTACTGATTTCCTGCCAATGATATTTTATTAAGCAACGACCCAGTATATGTGTGAAATGTAGCCTGATACTGTTCTGACTTAACGCGAAACAATAAATGTAACAAATTGTTTGAAATTCTCTTAAATTGAGCCGCCATCTTCTTTATCTCGAGGCTTGTAGGCTGACTGAAAGATGGTCAACGTGGATCACGGGACTGAGGCTACGCAAAACAGATCTCAAAGTTTACTACCACAACTTGGTAGTAAAATGTTTACACTGGGAGATACAGGTGTGGCAAGGATTTCAGGGTAACAGAAAGCGAAAACATCAATGATTCTATTCTTTATAAATGTTTTCTAATAATCCTTTTTTTGTAAAAAGGGATATTCCCACAGTTGATTGGTGCTATAGAGGTTTAGGGCTTCGAACCATTCACTGATGAAGAACCGTTAATCGCTGGTAGTTTCACGATACTTTGTTTGGGTTTTGCTGTTGAGCTTTCCGCTGCTTGACCTGGTTTACTGACCTGAAAAACATTAAATGAACAACTCATAATACAAAATCTAAGCGCAAGTACTTGAAACTTAAAAACAGAATTTCAAGCTGGGGAGAAATTCCGTTTTCGGGCCGGGTAAAAAGTAACGAATCCACCTAACTAACATAGGTCCGCATAGCGTATCAATACTGAGCGATTGTATATATTCGGCGTGACCTGGTTATTAGATAACGCCTCATCCGAAGATATTCCATTCTCCGAACAATCCAAATTCGAACTATAATAGACGTCTTCTTATGGATTTGGTTTTAAGAATTTGCCAGATGAAATCTTTTAAGTGCACAAGGTTGTAATAAACATTCAGGTCGGCCTATTAAGTCTTGTTTAATCTCTTTGCCTCAAGGGATGTCCCTCCAGACAATTCGTTATACCTTCCTCTTTGTCTCGTTGGTACTCGTCACGGGAAATCTCTTCTTTTTCGATGTCATGATATCAACAATTCTTTGCAGCAGCTTGTGGTTTTGTTTGTCGATTACAGCCTGTCTTTGCTCTTCGGCCTGTAACGAAAGAGGACCAGAGAAAATAAACATTCATCAGTGATTGACGAAGAGAGTCAAAGAGTGCAGTCGCTTACGAGAATTCCTGGAATTAACCCCCCATATTTACTGTAAATATGAACTCTGTTTAACGGTCTTTCTTTAGACTTCCAAAATATCTTGTTCAATTGTAATCCACACCAGTTTAACACTGTGTTAAATTAGTATTGAGAAAAGTGACATGTGTGGGTATTCAAATTTTCATTGTCCAGTCTTGCTGGCGCTGACAAAGCCTCTGGCAATCAGGAGAAAAGGAAGAACTGACAAACAACCAAACAACCAAACAACCAATTAGAACTCAAAGTAAACACAGGCAAACTTCCTGAAGTGCGGTAAAACAAGTAACTAAAACGCGATATATGATAAGTTTGCAGCGAATTGTGATGATTACTTGAGAGTGTAGCGTGATTATTTTAGAACAATCACAGAGCAAAAGAGACAAATTAAAACCAATGTTGTCCCGAGTTATTTTTCAAATTCGATGGAAAATTGACAAAGTTCACCATAATCCGCCTGACTCTCATTTGCAATTGGGCCTCTTCGTCGTTAAACTGTAACGAGGTTTCTCCTTTTAACGTCGATTTCGTCTCTTTAAGCTGCAGGATAAAAAATACATTTTAAAATACATTAACTATGAAAAGACTGAATGAGGCTTTGACCGGTCAATGACATATGCAATTAACGTATTTAAGTTCCTTTTAGTGCTTGCCGACATGCGATAAGGTTTCTGTATGTGCTAAGCGCGCACACATTGCGTAAATCTGGAGTTTCGAAATCTAACGTAGATTCCTTTGTTTTGAGAAATGACTCAAATATTTGGTAAGCACGTCAAGTAGAACTTGTACGAAAACAATTCCTTAACGATAATTTTCAAAGGTGAGACGTGTTTTCGAGCAGTAGGACTCCAAAAACATCTTATGGTAAACCACAATCACAACTGCATTAACAAAGTAAACAAAGTGAGGAAAGAATCACAAAAGCCAATTTGGAGATCCATGACCTACAGTAGTATTGTGTTAATATCTTAAATAAAGCTCTGTTCTTTTCTGAAGACAGACCCTCTCCTTGACTTTTCCAAAGTAGATAAAAACTCTTGACATTATAAGGTTTGCTTGTTGTTACTTAACACAAACACCGAAACATCTACACGAAATTACAACCTCTTTAGACTGTCATAATGCCGACAGAATTCCTTTACAAATCGTGTCTCACTCAGATGAAAGATGAATTGAGTCAATTGAGTTAATGTACATACTCTCTGTCGGTGTTTTGCGTAAGTCATCTGCTGCCATTTCTTCTCCAAGATGTTCCCAGATTGTGCCATCCTTGTCACGTCCGTTGGCAACTGGATTGACAATGCTCGCGAAGTTGTAATTATTTCCTGAAATTGATCCTAAAAGCACGGAAATACCTCTGCCGATAAACTTCTCGCTTTGTTTAGCACCCAAACGCGATATGAACAGTAACATCTGTCCTCAACATGGCTGCGGATGGAAAACTTGTGTAGCTGTATCACCTTTCGTAATTTAATTAGTAAAAAACCCAAATAAGTTTAAACAATCTTCAGACAATACCATAGCCTCGCTAATCCATTTAGGGGCCGACCATTTAACTTTTGAGGGGGGGGGGTGGGTCATTCTGGTCATCAAAAAATTTTTTTTCTAGCAATCTGCTGTGCAGGATATTTTTTTCCGATTTTTTTGGTACATTTTTCCTGTTACATTTGGGCTGCATGTAATTTTTTTCTTCCAACAAGCGCTTGCAGGAAATTTTTTTTCAAATCATCCACCCCCCCCCCCTCAAAAGTTAAATGGTCGGCCCCTTAATCGATTGTATCTGTAGAAACCGGAGCATTTCATAAATAAACTTCACAAATCTACATTGTCATTCAAATATTGGAGTTTGTAACAAGTAATGCCAGTAAACTATGCTGCACACTTCCGGCACTTTGAGAAGCAATATATAAATGATTGACTTGTCCACATGAATTAGGTTCTGTTTATTCCTAAAATTTACACAATATTTATGGTTGGATATTTATTATAGTAAACAAAGGGATTTGAAAAGAGAAGTATCCGTCTAAAGTAGTATTGAATCAGTGAGTATTTTCATAGACTGACAATTGATAAACA